TAAGATACTTTGCTCTACACATATACACACAAACGCGCGCGCGCGCGCGCACACACACACACACACGCGCGCGCGCACACACGCACGCACACACACACACACACTTACTTAATTTGATTAGTCCATCTTGTTAGTAATCCGTTTTCTTCTCAGCTCTAAAATCTCTTTCACATTTCGCAATTGAGATTGTCAAATAAAATTCACATTTTGAATCAAAAGAACACAAAATTTACACAAATATTTTTTTATTCACAGATATATTATGTACTTTGAGAAATTTTGGCGACTATGTTCGGTTAACGATGTGCAACGCAACTTTCACGACCGATGTCGACGATTGACTGAAGTGTGAGATGAAGAAGTTTCCGTGCACAAGAGAAATATACGTGAGAACGACACATCAAATCGACGTCAAAATAAACGATAATCGTGGCGTTTCGCGGAAAAACGATAAAGAATAACGAATGTATGATTACATCATATTGAGGTAAACGTTAATTCATAAAAAGAGAAAAGAAGAAAAAAAGGGAAAGGGAAAAGAAAACGAAGATTTTTTTAACAAGTTATACAACAGCTGATAAAGCAGCGTCTGTGCCTCCTAAATCGGGAGATTTGTCTCTTAATTTAATGCATATTGTCGATTCACCTAACTATAAAAATAAATATTGATATAGACATTTATGAATTAAATTATCAAATAGACGTCAAAACTTGATGACATGGTTAATGTCTGTTTGAGATTCCATTACAGTTTAAGAACCTGGCAGTGACTTATCATGGACTTAACGATTATTGTATTTATAACTTAAAGATTATTTAACTAATATATTGAGTATGAATACGTATAACTTGCTGAGGATGATTCATAATAAAGTTGCATATATATTATTACCAATTATTTTATATGAAACAATATTTATGCGCATCCATTTCCGCGCTGATTATGCATGTTTATGAATATTTATGTATATTTATTTACATATCATGCATGAAAAATTGTTTACCAGATCTTGGCATCTTATATATTATTATGTATAAGATACCACGGTAAAGCTTAAGATCGCTTTTTGTCATTAAATATTGTAAGAGAAAATGAATTGTGTATGTATATTTATTTATGTACTTTTGTATAATTCTTATTAGTACAATCAGTGAAATCATTAATATTTAGACAATTACCTAAAATACACTTGTCAACAGATTACGTTATTAATTTTAAGAATTATTAATTATAACGAAAATGGATTGAAATAGATTGGAAATTTTCAATCCATCCGAATCCGTACTTTAAATCTATAAAAATGAATTGGATGGACTATATACAAATTTTTATACATGTAAAAGTTTAAATAAATTAAAGTAATAATTACAGGAAATTCTATAGTTACAAAATATAAATAATGGAGAGCATACAGCCACAACAATAGATATTAACGCAAGTCATGTATTTAAAATTCCCGTATAAATAAGTAGACGTTTCGGTCAAGATTTGACCATCATCAGTACAAACGAGATGATAAAAAATAAAAAACTTACAAAAAAAATTTAAATTAAGCATAAATCGTCCGAAGGTGTTACAATAATATCAAGATAAAATTACATTAAAAAATTACTAAAATAAAATTAAAAACGCAATATTTGCAAGTTCATAGATGG